GATTTTAAAATTATTAATGAGTTTTAATAGTAATTTTATTTATTTATTTACTCTTTTTCCTCTTTGCTGACGGTCTTCCATAGGGCTCCGGCTCTTCTAATCTTAGAAATTAAGCCCTACTGTATATAAGATTCAAAAATTGCTTTGTGACAAAGGCGTGGGTGGCTAAGGATAAATGTGCATTTAATTACATAATTGACATTCGTTTGTTTTACAATGGTAACACTAATGCACTGCTTCTGTACCGTCTACACCAATCAGAAATCTCAATTTTAAAATACATATTGAGCATGCGCGAAAATGCTCCGAAATTCGAGTTTCTCCAAAATCGTCTTAGAGATTCTTTGGCTTAGGTACCACAATTGGCGCGCTTATAAATCTCGTAAAAAGCGCTAAGCAAGGCGCCTTGAATAAGTGGGCGATTCTGCATCTAACTCCCCTAGGGAAATCCACTCAAAATAGTAGACTCCATTTATCTTGCACATTACGCGAATGAACCTATGACGCTAAGTTATCACTTGGAGAAAAAATTATTTATATCTTCATATAAACCAGAAAATCTCGTAACTTCTACGTTTCTTCTCGTGAAGATCTGCGCGCAACGAATTCCATTGTTTCATACTTATTACGTATGTATTTTAAGCTTGATTTTATTCTATGAATTACTGCAGGTGTAAACCTTTTGTGCAAGTGTCTATTTAAAAACTATCATACGAGTTCTTAACTATAAGGGGCTTCTTTCCCAAAGCGCCAACGGGTTCGTTGTGTAAGAAAACCCCAAATATTGAAGACTGATTGTGTTATAAAGCTAAGCTCTAAGACACATTGTGTACAGTGAAATACGGAACGCTTTTACCATTTTCAAACAACCTTCTTAAAAATACGTTGTGCGTGATGTATACACTGCCTAACAACTTTAGAATATTCGTAATGGTAAATTTAATAATTGCATACATTGATAAGTAAAGATGTATGCATGCTCCACCAAGAAATAATGTATATGTGATACATAGCAGATTTTTTTTTTTTTTTTTTTTAATGAAATGTTGTGTAAATTCTGGCATGTCTATATCACAGTAGATGTGTTGCATACCCATTATGTGTTAATATTTTTGTAAAGATAACAAGATGTATAAGGTAGGGTACAACGAAAGCTAGTGTGAAGAAGCCAAGAATTATATTGAATAAAATTTCTTGTTAGCGAGACCATGTAACATATGTGCAGAACATAAGAGTTTTTGTGAGATATGTGGAAAGTTATATGATATCAAGACTGCTTATCTCTGTAGGGATGAAACTATGAAAAATTCATTTATAAAAAAGAAATATTTTAAAAGAGCTGATGAATATCCACCCAGGACAGAACCTCGTGTGTGAGGAACGTAATTTTTAATTTAAATTAAAACAGCATATGTTTATCCACACAGGAGTAAGTATGTTATGTATGTGGCATGTCATTCATGTATAAGAGTACTTTAAGCAAACATATCTTTATTCACACTAAAATGGAACCATATGTCTGTGAAGTATGTAACAAATTGTTTAAATTAAAAGAGCAATTGAATATCCATATGCATACCCATACTGGAGCGAAGCCTTATGTTTGTGGTGTATGCAACAAGACATTTAGACTAAAACGAGTTTTAAATGTGCATATGACTATTCACACAGGTGAGAAACCTCATGTTTGTGATGTTTGTAATAAGTCATTTAGGCAAAAGTGTGAATTAACCCGCCATATCCTTATTCATACAGGAGAGAAACCTTATTCGTGTGAAGTATGTCAAATGTCATTTAGAGTAAAGTATGGTTTGAACTCGCATATGCTTATTCATACAGGAGAAAAATCTCATGTGTGTGATGTATGTAGTAAGTCGTTCAAACGAAAGGACAGTTTAACGAAACATAAGATACTTCACACAGGAGAGGAACCTTATTTGTGTCAAATATGTAATAATTCATTTAAACGCAAGCGTACTTTAAACAGGCATATGCTTCGTCATACAGGAGAGAAACCTTATGTGTGCAATATTTGTAATCATTCATTTATTCTAAAGCGTAATTTAAAAAACCATATGCTTATTCACACAGGAGAGAAGCCTTATTCTTGTGAAGTATGTAACAAATCCTTTGGAGTAGAAGCTTATGTAAAACTCCATATGCGTATCCACACAGGAGAGAAACCTTATGTGTGTGATGTATGTAATAAGTCATTTCCATATAAGAATGCTTTGAAGAAACATAAGCTACTTCACACAGGAGAGAAACCTTATTTGTGTGAAGTATGTCAAAAGTCGTTTAGAGAGCAATGTGCTTTAAAGAAGCATATGCTTATTCATACAGGAGAGAAACCTCATGTATGCGAGGTGTGCAACAAAGCATTTACACAAACGGGTTCTTTAAAGTTACACATGCTTGTGCACATTAAAGATAAAACTCAGGTATGAGGCGGGGCTGTGGAGTCGGTTGGGAAAATGACAGACTTTGGAATTTTAAAGGTTCCGACTCCCTCATATATATATATAAACATATACATATGGATTACAGCTTATTTTTTTAATATAAAAGAAGTAATAGATGCTACAGAAAAAAATGATGGCATAGCGATTTATATTAATTAGCATTTATTATGAAATGGAAAAACTGGCATTAGTTATTTCTAAGAAACAGTATAGCTTCGGCAAGATCTTTGTTGAAGGCCCATAGATCCGATTTGATAAACTTCAGAGCTGAGAAGAGTCCACACTAACTTGAGTAGGAGGAAGAGTTGTTACTGTTAGGGCTACTTCTTTTAACTTTTCAGGATATATTTTTATAAGTTCTGAAAGAGGTGTCTTGCAAGCGCAATCATATTTCTCTATTTCTTCAAAGGCCGTGTAGAAATCTTGTATTTTCATTTATATATCTAAATGCTCTTGGTTCTTTATTTTTATTCACTTTGTCTTAGCCTTTTCAATATTATCCAAAAATATTTCTTAAAATCTAATTCATCACTGGAAGAGGATGATAGACTCAAATGCAATGTCTGCAGTTTGACTGTCCTGATTCGAATTCTCGAATTGTTCTGAGAATAATTTCATTCTTAATGAAAGTTCATAGATGGCTTTCTTTGCCTTTTTAATTTGTTCGTCATCCAAGAAAATTCAGTGTTTTGGATATACATATATTGAACCCAGCAAGATCTCATTGTCAAGCAAATTAGTTTCTCTTTTCTTCATTAAAGAAATGATTCCTTCTGCAATAAACCATCCATTTCAGAAAGAACAAACATCTTCCATTCTCGCCTCCTGTCAATTCTTCAGATTTCGGGTTTTTTGTGGCTATATACAGTGTAGAAAGAAGAGTTTCGAATTCTGTAAGATCATTCCATAGTCTTTCTGTTAGTGAAACATTAGGGTTATCTACATCTTCTAAAAAGTTCTTAATTCTAACAACCTGTTGATGATCAAATATGTACTTCCTTATAAAGTTGCTTGATCAATAATTGCTCCTTCTTTCCTGCTCGCTTCCTAAGAATGACATCAATTTTAGAAGTTCTTGTTGCTATTGCTGCTTACCTAAATTTACCAGTGACATTTGTAACTGTATGAATCAGTTTATTCACTAATGGCCAATATCACATCCATCCATCTCCCTTATATTTATTTATTAATATGTCAATAAAATAGAAAATAACTATTTATTAATGTATAAAAACTCATAAATAAAAATAATAATTCAGCTTGTCGTTAAATTTTGTTTTCAATTCATTTTAATTTCATTTCAAATTCAAACTGTCCAACAAAAACTGGAGTTGGAGTTGACTTGTTTTTATCGACTCCTTTTACTCCAAAATCTGCCTGATTCCGACTCCACAGCCCTGGTGCGAGGCAGAGCTTAATTTCCAAAATTAGAAGTGTTGAAGCCGTATGAACGGCTGTCAGAAAGAAGGGAAAAAAATAAAATGACTAATAATTAAATTAAAATTATAAATCAATGAAATATAAAAAAAATTATTAAATTCACTATTAATGGTTAAATAAAATATCACACCTCATCTTATTTGGAGCTCTGGCTGGACTTAAATTTCATTCAGAAAACTAAACTTAGCCGCCCTCCGGTTTAATTCAGGCACCGAATGTATGGTATAACTTATGATTTCAAGGGATGAGAGAAACAAAAAAATATTCTTTTCCCAGCGCATGAATGGGGGAGAAAAAATAAAACCATTAAAGTGACACTAATGAGAACAGAGAGAGAATGATAGAAATAATATGGAAGGAATTTTAAATAGAGACATGTAGCTTTGAAAACAAAGTCCTAAGCTCTCTGACTGTGATGCCCTGCCCGTATAATTCTAGCTGTCAAACAGAATGGGACTGAGCAAAAAAGTTTCCCCTGAATCCTTTCTGATAACAAATGTGAGGTTAGCAAAAGTGAAAATTTTGTTCCCCCTATTTGGTTACATTGTTCAAGTCTGCAGGAGCTATGCTGTGACAGGCCACTAGTGCTGGAAGTGCACAGCCAGCATAATCATTTTTAGTGCTTTCAGGAACAAAACATTATACAGTCAAAAGTCGTTAATTCGGACCTCAAAGCTGCGAAACTCTCTGCGCATGCGTTGCGATGACGCATGCGCATAGGCGTTTACATGTGCGCGTGCAGACCTTTACGGCTACGAATATACGTGTGCGCATGCGCACAATACGTTTACACATGCGCGTTTAATGTATAACGGACGGTATAAGCTAAGCTAAAATTATCTAATTAATGTTGCAGATTGCGTTGTTCCTTAATCTTCGAATTGGATCCGGCTTATTATTTTTTGCAGACTGTTAGAGCAATTTTATAAAAGTAAGCTTGAACTTTCGATTATGTCAAATAGAATTTCCGATATATATTTACTAATATGTAAAGGATCTACAAAGCGAAAGTATGTTTCGAAGTCCATTAAACAGAAAGTGGAATTGCTGCAAAAAATGGATAAAGGCATATCCTTTGATTATCTAATCATTCCAAAATATGTTTATCAATTTCACGCAGCTCTGCGGGTGGAGGGAAACGACGAGGCGCACAATGAATTGGAAATTGATCTGTCAGCACTATCCTTATCTTCAGGGCAGGTGTTTTTATTTTATTTGGCTTATATTCCTTACTAAATCTAGTATTTCATCTCGATGTACTCCGTCTTTGATATGATTTAAATCAAGCTCCTCGTCATTATAATTTGCTTCCGATAGTGAAGAAAATAACACAGAGGTTATTGAAAATGAAAAAAATTCGATTGACAAATTAGTCTGTATTCTCGATACAGCAATTATAGGACTTGAACAGCGGAACTGTGTAACTAAACAAGAAATTATGTCTGTTTAATAGAATTAAAGAGAAAGTATTATCACATGAAACGAAGCAACTTAAACAACTTACATTGAAAGAAATGTTTAATAAAGTAAACAAATAAATATTAAGCTATTTCTTTTTGTAAATTTTGATACCCATTAGATCATAATTGTTCTTTATTTCATAAATTACGGTTTCATATTTTTTATTTTATAATTTCTGCATGCCATCTTACCAGATTTAAACTGATGATCTATAATCCGGAATCGCCGAAGTTCCGACGAGTCCGAATTAACGACTTTTGACTGTACGCACTCTCATAAATTCATTGCACTACTTGGAAAATAAATCTTCGACATGTGGATGTAGGATTTTCTTTCTTTAAAAGTGTTAACACCTCACCTCCATCCAGTTTTTTTAACCAGAGAAAAACAGACATGCACTCAGAAGTTATAATCTTCTTGTAATGCATATTTATTTTTAAAATAGAATTTTTCCCTCTGAAACTCTGTTCCATTTACATTAAAAAAGTTCCAGATCCCTTTTATTTAGTGCTGCAGTTAGAATGACCATTTACCTCAGAAACTGAGACATAACGGTTGGCTCTGGCGTTAACTTAAGCTTTCCTATGATCGAGCCATTTAGGAGTGATTTAGACAAATACACGGTTACTTGTGCAAGGGGAAAACTGTATAAATTATATTTGTAACTAACTATTCACTTGGGCAGGATAACAAATGTTACTCTATGTAGAGGAGCATAATTTGCATTGAAGACTACATAATTGCTACATATCTTTTCAGAAAGAAGATAAATATTGAAATAATTCTGACATTTAAATTTGTATTCCAAATTAAGATTTAACTTGAAATTAATATAGATAATTACTAAGAGAATTAGATTTTTGTAGTGTAGTTTATGTGAGACGAAATGAATTGGTGTAATGTGGTATGAGCCGGCGAAGCAGGATATTGTGCCATTAAAGCATAGTAAATTCTTAAATTAATGTCTTTTTACAAATTCATTGTCTTTATTTATTGGCTTTTTACATAATTTTAAACAATATTAAAAATGTTTATGCCTTCAAAATAAAAAATTCTTACAAATAACATTTGTTCACAGTTTTTATGTGTATACTGTATGTTGTCTCCAATAAAGTCTGCTTGACGAGATTTGCGCTAGCGAAACGGAAAAGTACCGATATATAAGAAACTTTCCTTTTTATGTGCTGTAAGAAAAAATATCATTCTATGAGGTATATAAATTGTCATTTCATCTAAATGCCTAAGAAACAGTTTATTTGATTCTACAAGGAAGAGCCTTCTGGTATAAATCTGAAATCATTTTAGAGGAATGCTGACTTTAAGCAACTTTGCATTCTTATGAAAGAAAAACCTCAGCCTAGATTGATTAAAAAGTCACAACCCTGAAACACTTTCAAAATTGAATGACTCTTAAGGGTTTGATGTTTCCCTCATCTACAAATTTGAATCTTTCATTATGAATTGCATTTACTATAGCATTTATGTGAAATGTATTGTTTTCTGATATCTTTATTGCTGCAGCCTGAAATTTCTTGCTTTCTCAGTACTTTTCTGTTATCAGGAACCAGATTTTTAGCACTGAAATAGTAGCTACGTGAAACGTTCTGTTCCAGTGAGAAACAGATACTTCTGTTAACAGAACGTTTCGCATAGCTACTATTTCAGTGCTAAAAATGTCCAGAAATCATGTATCACAAACTCACTGTTATGTGCATACTATTGAAAGGTCATTTTCAGATTGTGTCACTGCCACAGTGATAATATGTAGCTTGATGAATAAGGTCCTTTTCTCTTCCTTGTTGCTTTTAAAATTATTTTGATTTTAATAGTCATTGTTCATCATCTAGCTTTGAGTGTTCAATGTTGGAATCTGCCTTATGCCAAGCATATTATTTATAGTATATAGGATTGACTGCAGTAGTTTTTCATGTATTTTATTATATTTTTATTGATTAAATCTCATTATCTTTCTTAAAAAATTGTGATAAAAATGCTATGTATGTTTAAAATATTGAAATTTTGAAGATATTCTAAAATTTTTTATATAAATGATTGAAATGACATATTTTAGGTAGTATTTAATCTCCTTGAAAATTTATTAGGTTGAAAGAAAATTCTAAATAATATCTGTGTACCACACAAATTGTGG